AATTTTATTACAATTAATTACAAATGCAATACAACTAGAAATCTAATAAAATACAAAACGATGACCATCAAACACGATATATTAAATATATATGTTTTTATAAAAATATTTTTATATAGTTAATATTCAAATAATATATATATATATATATATAAATTTATATATATACTTAAAGCTTATATATATATAAATGTTTGTGTTTATTAGATTTATTATTATTAGAAAAAAACATTCAGACTATTGTAAAGTATGTTATGAAACTAAAGTGATTTCTTTAATTTTTTATATATATATTTTATGAGTCATTTGTAATCTACGCACAAAATAACTATTTATTGATTTTGATTGCAAATTTCAGTCACTAGATTTGTAAATTTTGTTCAAACTTTTATTCAAAAAAATGTGATCAGATTTTTAAAAAATATATTAATTTATTTTAAAATTAATTTGTTATTCATATCTATATAAAAGATATAAAATATATATTGTATTTGTGATTAATTGCACAAAAAACTTATACTAAGCTAACTAACAAAACTAATAATAATGTTTATGATAACAATTGATAAACATTGGAGTCGGTTACGGGACTTTACTCACCGACATAGTGTCAACTGGACTTTTGTATGCCGGGCCATAATCTACACGATCTGTTCGGTTGTTATGATTTATCAGGTCAGCTCCTCATGTATGGAGTATTACAAGTATAATACTATTGTACAGATCAGGATCGGTAAGTCGGACACAAGTCTACCGGCAATCAGTATCTGCCGACAGGTTAAGGCTATAGAATATTTGAATCTTATCTACGAAAAGGACGAAACGTTTCTGAAGAGGTATCCGCGAGCTAATAACAATCAGATGTCGTCACCGAATAGTAACAATAATGAGACTGAAGGACAACCGGAAAAGCAGGACTGGTCGGCACTCAAACAGATTGCCCACTATTTCGAGATGAGTCACACCAATAGTTCAACTTTTTTTGAGATAATCCGAAAACTTTTGAACGTCTATTGCATAGATATTAAAGACCCGGCAAAAGATAAATGCTATGATAAGGCAAAAATAATCCATAGTTTTACTCAACGGCGCTTATGTATGACATTCTACAGTAAATTATACGTTAATTGGAACGGAAGCGACAATAACTACGACAATCCATTGGACAAATCGACAGAAAAAGAGGAAACAGAGGAACGGGTGATCGCGTGGCTCAGTATTGACAATCCGGGCGATGATGTCTTTATTAATATTCATACACCGATGTCGATGCCGGACATCAATTTGTATGGACTTGAGATGAGCCGATCGCGCTTAACTAAAAAACTTACATATGGTGTAGTTTATCATAAATATTCAGTGACCCGATTGGAGACGCCATACATAACCGATTGCACTAACTATTCGGCAAAGAGAACCAAAGCCGACGAACCGCTGTCGATGTTTGGATGTCTAAACCGATGCAAAAAGAATTACTGGAAAAACAATACCCGATCTGATAATAAAAAGTGTTTACCAATTGATTTAGCATTTATTATGGAATCGGACGATAAATACTATAACGTATGCGACTGTACCTGTAAAATGTGTGATAAAAAACTTACAACTAATGGCATATGTGAGAGATGTCCCGGTTCTACAGGTAAACAATATAAGGCATACGTTAGACAGTGTGAAAACGATTGTAAGTCTGCCTGCGATGAAGACATTTATACGAAAGACCTGTTCGAGTTGGGCATCGAAACACGTTATGATATGTGGAGTAAACATCAGGTCAAAGATAAACTCAATACAACTGATACTACAAATCATACGGTCGTATTTGTGGCGGCAAAGTATGGCGAAGAGATATCCTACACACATGTGCCCAAAATGAATGAATTTGACTTTTTTGCCGCAATGGGTGGCCTATTCTCGCTATGGGTGGGCGCCTCCGTACTTACCATTTACGATGCCATTGTATTTATTCTGACCAGTATTAAGACAATCAGGGAAAAGGTGGCCAATCGTCGTATGTTTGAACGCAATCTACAATTACAGGCAAACAACAAAAACGATAAAAGACAACTCGATCTCTATAATAGAGATATGACTCGATTTAGACATAGAGTACCTGCACTTCATAGATATTATTGATTTTTTTGCATTATATTTTTAATCTTTGAATTGCAATATATATATAACAGCAAAATGATATGATTTCTAGATCTGTATATCATATAAATAATGATACTTATGTAATACAGTACATGATTTATGTCTAATAGTAGATTTGCATAATGTACTGTAATAATAATACTGTATCTATAATGTAGTATTACTATAAATATAATATACTGTATGGTAAATGTTAAGATTTATATATCATTATGAAAATCCGTTAACTTTATTTTACTTAAATTATATAACCTATTATGATTTATGTAAATTGTAATAGTAGTAATCTTATAAAAAAATATTTAAATTAAATACAGTATATATTTATGTTATTTTCATAGTTTTATTAAATTAACTACTATATATTAAATATTTATTTTTAAGAAAATATTAATTTAAAATATATATATTTTTATATATTTAACAAATATTATTACTAAAATGATAATTAGTATTCTAAATAATATTACAATTAAATTTACTATAAAAATTATTAAAATTATAAAAATTATAAAAAACTATTAAAAATTATAATATTTTTACTACTTACATATAAACTATATAAACATATAAATTATATAAAATTAGCTATAATTATCATTATCTATTATATTTTTTAATAAATGTTTTTAACTTTTAATATTATTGCACAATATCTTTAAATAGATTATAATAAAATAATTTTCAAAAGCTATTATTTTTAATTTAACTTTAAAATATGATGAGACAAAATATCATCTATTTACTGTTTTTCTAAAAATAAAATTGATAAATTATTATAGTATAATAAATTTTAAAAACTGCTTTTTTAGATAAATTACTTCAAAATTTTTAATATAAACTTTATATGTTATAGATAATATATTTTATTACATCATCATCACAAATAAATTAAAAACACTAATATACTGTATACAACACAACACAATACATTTAATATTAAATATTATAATACATTTATAAAAATATAAAACTAGAAATTTTTATAAATAAAAACAAGTTATTATCAAAACACACCACATATTTATATGTTATGTTGTTTTGCATTTTACTGACCACTTATCTATATTTTATGCACAATTACCACTAAAAAGTTAGTGATGACCACCAGAATAGCCAAAAAATATATCTATTTATAAATTGTATTCATATTTCAAATACATATAAGTCATACGGTATGTGATTTATTTTTATACATAATATTGCATTAAATGATAGTAAATTTTAGAATTTTTAATTATATTTTACTTGTATATTATTTAATAATATTAAGATAAAAATATTTACTAAAATTTTATATACAGTATTAATAGTACCATTGATCCCATTTTGACTACCGGTGCAGTTAAGCTGAACAACAAAAACAGATAAAAACGCAAATTCAAAACAATTTTTATTAAAGTTATTATATAGACAATATATAAACTAGTTATTTAACAGAAACTAAATGTATAATTTTAACATTCAGTTAAAATATTTAATATTTGTTTGCAGAGAAAATAAAAACAAAAATAATTTTTGTACATAAATTTTAATTTAATTATAACACCTCTGTATGTGATATAATTTTTTTTTAATTCAATACATTGTGTTTATAAACATAAATAAATTTTCATTTCAAATTCAAAACAAGTAAAGAAAAATCAAATTAAATAATAAATAATTATATTTTTAAAAGATTAATTTGGATAAAGTTGTTATATAAATTTATATATATACAGTATATTTTTATACAATTTGTATACAATATAAATTACAAATTTAATGTTTATTTTAGTGATTAGTATTACATTTTATTGTGTGCCTATAGGCTTATAAATAATCGTATTTATTACCTCCAAAACATGTAATGTATAAAAAAAAGTGTCAAATTTTTATAGATAATTACATAAATAAACTAAAAATAATTATACAGTGAATAGTCTCTACGTGTTTGACATTAATGATATAACTGTCTCAATATAAAGCCATAGTAAGTGTCTCTGCTATCAATTGTCGATAACAATACTAATACTAATAATAATGCGTAAAATATTAGACTAATTTTATATATAAAAAAGGATAAAATGAGAAGATTATAATGTAATTGTTATACAGTAAATATCATTCAATGTATCAAATTTACGCACAATAGTAAAAGTTAGATTAGAAATTTTTTTTTATAAATAAACAAACAAAAAATCGATTAAATTTTATAATAATAATTAAGTCAACTTAGCATATATTGTAATAAATAGATAAACAAAACAAAATTTAATGAAACAAATTAGTTACAAAATACTAGACCTAAGACATAATATGTAATTTTATATAAATATAGTTTTAGCGATAAGATAGACAGTATGTCGAGCGCATGCCGTTTTTTGGTGGCGGGGATGTGGATCAACACCTTATTCAATGCCGACTGTAATATAGGAATAAACTGATGGTTGAACTGATGGCTACTTGTGTTTAGAGCACAATAAGTCATATAATTTTTTTTAAAAGCAAATAATATATTATAATGAAACGGAAAATTGTTTTTCATAATAATATATTCAAAATGTAATTTTTTATAATAGTCATCATTGACTGAGAAAATTATTATTATTTTTGTCAAAAAATACTTTAGAGTATTAAAAGTTATTGTTTTAACAATTTCTTCATACAATATATTTATATGAAAAACATTATCTTTTTGTAAAACAAAATAAAAGTTTTCATTTTTCAAAATTTAAATACTTTATATATTTTACATAATATTTTGATTTATAATATTAACATAAATACTAACCCAAAAAAACTATAATCAAATCACTTGTCATATTTATCCAGAAAAAACAAAAATGTTTATAAAATGTAAGTTTTTGTATCTGTATTTAATGGTTTCATATTATAAATGTTTGGCTCAACAATCAAAGTAAGTAAAAAATTTATTCATGAATAGACTATAAAGTATATTATATATATATTTGTTGTGTATATTGTCTATAATAATAATGTTATTTAGTTATACAAAAACTATTTTCAATATTTATATAAAATATTTTAGTGTATTATTTTAAATAACTTGTGAATTATTCTTTGTTTATTTCAATATTAATAATTTATTAATAATTAATTTTTAAACTAAATTTATAACTTATTTTACATAAATATATAATAATTTATATTACTATATGAATTTTAATTTTTTAAAATTAATTATAGATATTATCTTCAATGCATTGTTGTTAATTTTTAATGCTATGTTAATTAATTTAATATTCTTAGTTTATAATTTTAAACTATTAATTAATTATATTTAATTAAATACGTTTAACGTATAGCATTAATAGATATAGTTTAACATATAATATTAACAGCACATTTAATTTAAAATTGTTAATAAAATTATTTATCATAATTTACTTGATGATTAATGTAGAAAAACTATTAATGTATTAAAATTAAACGTGTTTTAAAATTATGCTAAATTAATTTACAAAATCATACAATTACTAACAAGTAATAAAATTATTTCGGTTAAAATTTTTGACTTAAATAACAAAAAATCTAATTTAATAAAATTAGATAAATTATATATGATATACTGTATATGATTAATATATAATTTACATAATATAAATATAATAATTAATAATACTGTAGTCTAAATGGCTAGCAAGCTGTCTAATGCAGCACATGTATATATATACTGATGATATATATAATTTATATATATATATATATATATATATATAATACTATAGAAATTAATTTTTCTATAATACGTAGATAAAAGTTTTTTTAATCAAACCAAAACCGACATCAAAATGCACTTATCTATTAGGAAACAATAATTATAATTATAATAATATCATTTCCAATATATAAATTATTTATTATAAATTTATTTAACTACAGTTATTAATAACAACAACAACATTGGGATAACTTTTTTTTTGCTCATTGAAGACAAATATTATTAATTACATAACATTAAACAAACAACATATATTGTTTTTTATTGAATATTTTGTTTTTTATTGTTGTTCAATGCGGTCAAACAAACAAAAAAAAACAAATTTTTTTATAATACTTTATTTCAATATACTATTAATAATAATTTCAGTTTTGTAAAAAAATTATGTTTAACAATATTTTGTATTCACTACTATAAACTAAATGTTTTATTACTATCTATGATATTTAAGATATTTATTTAGTTTACATAAAATTTCAAAACCGGAACTCAGATATAAAAAAGTTTTTCAAAGTTCCGTTTAATTTTCAGTTATTTAGCAATTTATTGGACACAAATTTAGTTTACACACACTATTTGTTTGATACAATATTTTCAAATGTATTGTTACGGCAAAAATATATATATATATAATAGAAATATACCGTATATTAGATTATAAAAACCAATAATAGATAAAATTTCATAACAATGACTTTCTTCTATGTGCTACATATACTACACATATGTAATAATAGATGATATTGTAATAAATATATACTGTATGTATATAGAAGTTATACTGTATATAATAAAATATAACTTTGCAATTGTGTGTAGATGTATGTCTAAATTAGATGTTAATAATGTTTAAAACCTAAATGGATTGGAAAAAAATAAATAAATTACAATCTCTCTCTCTCTCTCTCACTCACTCACTCACTCACTCACTCACTCACTCACTCACTCACTCACTCACTCACTCACTCACTCACTCACTCACTCACTCACTCACTCACTCACTCACTCACTCACTCACTCACTCACTCACTCACTCACTCACTCACTCACTCACTCACTCACTCACTCACTCACTCACTCACTCACTCACTCACTCACTCACTCACTCACTCACTCACTCACTCACTCACTCACTCACTCACTCACTCACTCACTCACTCACTCACTCACTCACTCACTCACTCACTCACTCATTCATTCATTCACTCACTCTTTCGTAAAACAAATTAGCTTTAATTTCAGTATTGTTGATGCATTTGAAGCTCAATTTGGACCATAAAATAAAGGCAATACTTAAAAAATATATTAAGTGTAAAAACAGGCTTTAATTTTGTTAAATTAAAATTAATGATATTATATATATATATGTATATATATATATAGTATAAACTGTATGAGAAAGTAACACTTTAATAAAATATTGAAAAATATTATCTTTCTATACATTATTTTGTTGTTGTTTATGTTTTTAATGGTCATATAAACTTTATACGTTTGACTAATATTTTGTGACTTTCTTATTAGTTATGTAATAAATTATATAACATAATTTTTTTTGTTTTTATATAATATTAATTAGATTTCAATCGGATAAAGATCTCAACCAATTGGATCGTCTACTTAAGGGTTATGATAGACGTGCGCTTCCAACCAGTCATTTAGGTAAGTGCTATCATAAACAACAAAAAAAACACACACACACACACATATATATACATTTCAAATAAATATAAATTTATATAAATTCAATATACTGATAATATTATGTAATGATAATAATAATAATAAAAAACGAAACTTTTTCTTAACGATAAATTATTGATCAACATTACTTCAAGTCTAACATTAATTTACACAAAATAACATTACTTTTATTTTACTATTACTATGATTATTATCAAATAGTTTAAAGTTTTACACATAGAAAAATATCTAACTTGACATTAATAACATATAAATACTACAATTATCATAGCACTAAATTTTTGTCTTAACTATAAATCACTTTGTAATCCAAATTGAAAGTGAAATGTATAAAATATTATATACAATAATATATAGTATAGATATAAATTTAGAAAAATGTATATTATATTTATTTTATTTTCTATGTATGTTTGTGAATAATATCCCTCTCAGACTAACTTATAATATTTTTTTTTATAAATATTAAATGCAGTCTACGGTATGTAAGTACAGTACATACAGTAGTAGTAGTATAAGTATTGAATTAAGTATTTTAAGTTTGTTTTATTGAAGGGACATAAAAAACAAAAATAAAAAATTTTACATAAAATATATATTAAATATGAGTGAGTGAGTTAGTAAGTACTATAGTGGGTGATTGAGTCAATGATGCAGAAAAAATATATAAAGTTTTGAAAATTTATTTGGTAGTGATTTTATTTTAGTGAGTTAATAATACTATTATTATTATATATTAAAGTAAATGTGCTTGATAAATTGATTGTATCAATGACAGATATATTATTAATAAAAACATATGCTATATTTAACAATAAAACTAAATGGATATATATCTCATACAAAAATAATAATATAATATGTAATATTAAAAGTAAATCTATTGTATAATATTATATTGTATTGTATTGTATGTGACAGATTTTTTTTGTACAAAAAACAATATAAAAGTTTGAAACTGAAAAAAAAGAAATGTTTGAAGAAAATGTTATAAACTTTTTTATTATTTTTATTTCAGTAAAACTGTTTTGTTTTTTTTTCAAGAAAATTGATTGTTTTTTAGTATTTATATATCATATTTTCTATTAAATATAAAATTTTAATATCATTTATTATTCGGAGATAAAATTAAAGATTTTATGATTTTAAATATAGTTAATCACACAGAAAAAATATTATTGATTGAAAACAAACTTTTTTTTGAATTAATCTAAACTATGTTTTAAATAAGATTTAAATTACACTAAAATACAAGAAATTTATTTTATAATTATTATAATCTATAAAACAAATTTATATATAATGGTCAGGTATACCAACTGTAGTCGAGTGCGAAATATTTATCCGATCGATTGGATCGATAAATCCGGAATCCATGGACTACGAGGTCGACCTATATTTGCGTCAGAGTTGGTTTGATGAGCGGCTCCGTACCGGCAACGGGTCGCGAGCTATGGACTTAAACGACCCGAAGTTAGTTCAGATGATTTGGAAACCGGAAGTCTTCTTCGCCAACGCAAAGTCAGCGGAGTTCCAGTACGTGACGGTTCCCAATGTTTTGGTCAGACTTGAAACCGGCGGCAAAATACTCTATATGTTGAGGTAATTACAGTACACAACTTTCCTCTAATATTGAATATATAATCTTTATTAACATTAATTATTACATAAATATTATCAAATAAATTACATTACATAAAATATTTAATTGAATTAATATTCTTACAGTAGTATACAATATATTAGTATTTATGTGTCTTATATTGATTCACATTATATAGTTGAGACATCCGGATAGGACAGTCAACATAATTAATCGGAAATTAATCAGATTTTATTATATTTTATGATAAGGTATCAACTATGACTTTTGTTTTTAAAAATATGGACGTCTTATCTGGACTATTCCAGATGTCTATAAAAATTTTACCTACAATTACATAATAAGTACACATAGATTCAGTGATGCAGACATAGTAACTGCTTAATATTGGATTTTTATTAGTGTTAAAAGGATTAATAACATAAAAATGTTTTGTTTTTTAAATTTATTATTGAAAGAAAAAAAAATAATGTATAAAAATAAAACTAATGCCAAAAGCTATTATTGCCTTACAATATAAATGTTTGCATATTTGTATAAATTTGATATTTAATGTATCATTTGATACACAATATGTTTTCTTTCTTTATCAAAATACTTAACTTTATGCAATAATTTGATGATAAAAAAAATTAACAATAGTTGCAAATAAAAGAAACATTTGCACATTTTTGTTGACAATAAAACTAATTTATTGCATTATCAACATTCAATGTGTGAATACATTATTGTATATATTTTTATTATATATTAATCTGAATGCCTTTGAGTAATAATAATACAATTTAGTAAATGAAGTTTTATTTTTTATATTATATAAATCTATGGAAAAATATGTATGTATTTATGTATTGATATAATTTTCTAGTATAACTCGCTTAAAATATTTCACACAAAACTTTAAGATAATTAATGGATATATATATTTAGATAATCAGATTTAATTAATTTTAGAAAAATTTTGTGTATATTTTAGTTATTATTATTAATATCAAAGATGACTAAATTAATAAATTAATTACTTGTTTTTTTTATCTACAACAAAAATGTTTTGATAAATTATAAAACTTTTAGACAAATATTTACATTAGTTTTTTTTTGAAAAATCATCTGAAAAATGCTAAAATAAATTGCAATAATTAAAATAAATTATATATTATTATACTTTAATGTATATACTCTAGCAGTTGAGATTGAATTTATARASAMAWATATATATATATATATTATTTTTAAACAGAAAATACAATTATACAACTATAGTATTCAATTTATTTAAAATAATTGTTTACTTGTAATTCAATTATAGTAATATAAAATATTTTTATTTATTTATAAGTTTACTTATTTTAATTAAAAATTATTAAACAATAAATACTATATATAAATAATAATGTCATTTTAATGAACATTTAAAAAAAAAACATTGTTATCTAGCTTTATTTTATTTTTTTACTAATATTCAAAAATTTTATAGATATAATGAAATTGTTTGAAACTTATTTGAAACTTAATAATATACATAATTTATCTATCTATATATCTAACAAAAAAAAGTGATTGATTCTCAATGTCAAATGTCAACTTCATTGTTGGGATTAATTATACGACAACAACAATAACAACACAACAAGCAATATAAATATGATAACTACATATATATATTGTAGATAAATATCTTACACAAAATAAATCGTTGTAATTATATACTATAGTTTGTAGAATAAAAATACTAAATAAAAACATTAGATAACTACCCAAACATACATACATACCGGCACACATACTATACATACATTCAAGTAAATGATGCATAAGTAAGTAAATAAATAATATACTCTATTTTGTCGTAAAATTTATGATTAATATAATGGTTATGTCAGACTTGTGTGTATATGTATCACAAATGTTAGAAACACTAGTGTTTCAATAACATTAGCTCTATTGTGAAATATGAATAAACTATTGAATCTTATAAGTCATTGATAATATATATATCAAATGTTTTGATGGACATTCATGTCTTACTTTACTTTACTGTTGTCAACCATCACTAACACTACTTATAATACAAAAGTGTAATATCATCACTGAATTTATGGAATTTCAAACAATATCCAGAATATACTATATTTAATAAATTTATTTATAAGAATAATATAAGAATAAAGTTTAATATTTATTTTGAAACTTTTATTTATTGATATAATTTGATAGCAAATAATTATGAAAAAGAGTTGATTTTATTTTGTGAGTGAGTGAGTGAGTGAGTGAGTGAGTGTTTTATAAGATATTAAAGACTAGTGTGTATTTTCTATCTATTATGTGACAACCCATTGATCCAAAAAATCTATCAAATTTAAGCCATCAAACTTACAAAAGACTTTAATATATTTGCTATAAATCAATAATTTTTCATTATTATTATGATTACGTTATTATTTCTTTTTTTTATTTTATTAAAATAAATATTATTAAAAATTTTTGCTTTTATACCATATTAAACTGAATATTCTAATAAATAAAATAAACTTAAATATTAATTTTTTTAACTATTGATTTATTTTGGGGACACTTTATATTTTAAATAAGAAATGTTTAGTTTTTATTGTAAAACACATTTACAATTGAAATGAAGTGATATATTATAAATAATATATATTAAAAAAATAAAACAACTATTACTACTACTGTATTATAATATAAATACTACTATAGATTACTACTACTCTAGTGTTATGTGTTTGTGTATACAATCGGGAAAATTGCGATAAATATTGGTCTCAATAGGGTTTTTCGTAAAACAAATCACTTCATCTCAATTGTAAACAACAATATTATAAACACTATATTTTATGATTTACTTAAATATACAGTAAATTGTATTTTCAAGTGATATTTTCTAATCATTTTTATAAATAATTTATGAATTTTGAGTATTGTTTTTAAAAAATAATTCATATTATATTCATATAGTGTATGTACTGTACTGTTATTATTCACATTTTAAATTTATGATATTTTAGACAATCAACTAATTTGACAAAACATTTTTTGGAAAATTGCTTTTACTTTCTATTATAATTTATAAAACATAAATTTTATTATTATATATATTATGTTTCACAAGTTTTATAACTTAATTTAATCTAATATTTATGAAATAATTGTAATAGTCTATTATATTAAATATATCAAATTTATTTAAAATGCCATATAAATGTATAATATAATTGTATTAATTTAGCAAAATATATACATTCAAGATAATTATACATACAAGTATATTTAAAATTATTATATTTTAATATAAATTACTTTAAATAATAATAATAATGATACACATTTTTGCAAATATAAATTAAGGAATTTTGGAAAAATTTTGAAAATAATAATTTTATTATTATTAGTATTATTTAAAACTTTGTTGATTTATGGTTATACACTTATAAACATTATCAAATGTACTATTGTACTGTATATAATGTACAAAAATTTTTGAATCATTTACTTTTAAAGTGAAAATATGTTAAATAAGTTTTTAAAATTGTTTTATTGTGCTTTAAAACACTTGGATAAATGTAATATTTAGATAAAAATATTTTAGTGCAAATATTTTTTAAAATATATATATATATATATATACAGTATGTATACTAATATCTAAAAATAGTGTATAAATTATCTAAAAAGCTTTTTCGTAATTTTCTATTTATTATTTTATTGTTTGATTTAAACTATTTTATAGACTCAAATTGCGCTTCTCCTGTATGATGGACTTATACCGATACCCAATGGACGCACAGGTGTGCGGTATTGAATTGGCTTCATGTAGGTTATCATTGACAACAATTTATTGAAAATTATTATATATAATATTACAACATATAAACTAAATGTTTTTTTTAATTTTTGTAAGAATATATTATTTATTTATTAATGTATGTCAACTATTTCAAGTTAAAATTAGAAAGTTTATTTTTTATTGATTTTTATATGCTATTACAATATCAATTAAATTAAGTTTAAGTAAAATTTATAATTTATAAGAAGTAAAATATTTAATTATTTGAAATAGAAATATATAAGAAACTATTAGCAAAAATATAGTACTATTATTAACATAAAAATTTATAAAATAAAATTATATACTTGTTTTATTTACAAATTTAATTAAAAATTAATGTTTTAAATTAAACATTAGCAAATACTAAATTACTTTTATTTTAACAACTATACTAATTTAAAAAAATATTTTTTTCTTTACATATCAACATTTTTATCTATCATCAAACATGAAATTTAAAATTATAATAATAACAACAAATTAATATTAACACAACAAATGATGCAAATAATTGTTGTGATAATAATAATTATTATACTAATAATACAAATAAAAATAATAACTATTAGTCTCAAAGACAACGAGTGAATTGATGCTAAAATGGTCGGACATATCGCCCATTAAATTATACGATAAGTTAAAGTTACCGCAGTTTTTGATAACTAATGTCAATACAACACTTTGTAAGGAGACATTTCATATAGGTTTGTGACGGAAAATATTATTGGTTTTTTGTTTTATTTTTTGTTTTTTGATATAACATTGGATGATATAATATGCTTTTATAGACAGTTGTGTTATATATATAATAATCTGAATGAATTGTCTAACAGAATATAAAAAAAGAAAATGTTTTTTCACGATTTTTCTATAGTATGAAAGTATTATTATTTTTATGGATCAAAATCACATAATTTTTCATATAAGTTAATGTATTATTATATTCACTGTATATTACTATATATACAGTACACTATTGTAATAAATACAGTGTCTGGAGATATATAACCTATTATTTAAGTTAAACATGTATTATACAGTAGTATACTGAATATCAAATAGAAATATAAAATTTATAGTATTCTTAAATAAATTTCCAATCGATATTTTTTAGTTTTGTTATTTTATGACTTTTATTTTACATTTTTTAAAAATAAGGTGAATACAGTTGTCTTAAGGCCGAGTTTTATCTGCAACGAGCACTGGGCTATCATTTGGTTCAGTCGTATTTGCCAACCATACTAATTGTTGTCATCTCGTGGGTGTCATTTTGGTTAGACGTTGAGTCTATACCGGCCCGAATCACATTAGGTGTTACCACACTATTAACAATTTCATCAAAAGGTAATATTATTAGTTAACTCTCTCTCTCTCTCTCTCTCTCTCTCTCTCTCTCACTCTCTCTCTCTCTCTCTCTCTCTCTCTCTCTCTCTCTCTCTCTCTCTCTCTCTCTCTCTCTCTCACTCTCTCTCTCTCTCTCTCTCTCTCTCTCTCTCTCTCTCTCTCTCTCTCTCTCTCTCTCTCTCTCTCTCTCTCTCTCTCTCTCTCTCTCTCTCTCTCTCTCTCTCTCTCTCTCTCTCTCTCTCTCTCTCTCTCTCTCTCTCTCTCTCTCTCTCTCTCTCTCTCTTCTCTCTCTTTCTTTCTATCTTTTATACACTAACTGACTCATTCAGTCACTTATACTATATATATATATACAGTATATATATACTAAAACTCAATATAAGTTTATTTTATTTTTTGTTAAGTAATGTAATAAATTCAAGTCATTTACTAAACTGAATGAAAGAATCATTAGTTAAATTAAAACTTTTTCACTCTTTTTCTATTGTACTCTACTTTTGCTGAAAACAACTATTAGTCTATTTTGTTTGAAGTTTATAAAGTGTGAGTCAGTAAGTAAGCAATGAAAAAGTAAATGTTTGTTAGTTAGGCATTGAGTGAAAGAGAGAGAGAGAGAGAGAGAGAGAGAGAGAGAGAGAGAGAGAGAGAGAGAGAGAGAGAGAGAGAGAGAGAGAGAGAATAAAAGATAGTTAAAAACGTCTGAACATTGAAAACAAGAAAAATATTAAAACAATTTAATTACATTTTGTTGTCTGAAACAAATAGGGGCTGGAATTCAAAGTAATTTACCGCCCGTTTCCTACGCTAAAGCTATCGATGTATGGATGGGCACCTGCACTACATTTGTATTTGTGGCACTATTGGAGTTTACCCTGGTCAATTATTTATGGCGCAGAAATAAATTAACACCCATTAGGACCGTACGGCTTAACAATCTCAGTCATACTGTAAAAAATAACAATCGTTTATTTCAATCATTATTATTAATTCATTTCAATTGAATACTTTTTTTGTATGTTTTATTTTTTTGTGTGCATTACTCTAGTGTTTTTTTTGCTCTTAATTTTAATTAAATCTAATTAAATAATAAAAATAGTAAAAGTTTTTTATGTTATTTGTTTTTATCACATTCATTTTCGTGTCAATTAATTAAAGCAAAATTGAATTATATATTTTTAAATAATAAACAATAAATGATTTGTTTTGTATAATTATAATTAATTTCTATGTTTTTAATCTATTAATGAAAAATATTTTTATTTGTTTCTTTGCATTTATTTTGTTATTTTTTACTAATTTTTATGAAACTATTTGTTCATTTAATTGTTTATTTATATTAAATAAATGATAAATTTTTAGCTTTATTTCAGTTTAAAAAACAAACGAAAGATTAACATTTTTATTTATAAAATAAATTACTTGTATTTAATAATAATAATAATAATATAAATTGTAATTGAATTTCTATTTAAATTGAATTTTATTTTAGAAGAAAAACATTGAATCGATGAACAGTATTAACAATAAGCTATTGACGGTCAGCGAAGATACAAACAGCGAGCTCAGGGATCTTAGTATGACTACAGCATCGATAGGTGATGTCGGCTATTGTAGTAGTGGTAGTGCTGGTGGTGTTAGCAATGGTGACGACTGTTCTCGAAGAACTCCCGAGAAAATCGATAGTATTAGTCGTATAGGATTTCCCGTATTTTTTATCGTATTTAACCTAATCTATTGGCCATATTATCTCATATTGATTGCACCTTAAGTTACAAAAAACAACTGCACAGACAAACATAGATTTTCTTTTTTTAGTAGACATACAGTATATGAAACAAATAAAAATGATTATTATGATTGCTTATCATTATTTAACATGAATTATCATTGATATTATATTGTTATAAATGTTGTTTATATGTGCAAATGTGTTATAAATTATATGTCTATGTTGTAGTAATACAATCTAATAAATTGATAACAAAAATTTATGTTAGTTTTTTCAGATTAATATTATTACTATTATTATAATTTATAAAATATATTGCCAATTAGTTAAATTGTTAAATCATGGCAATAAATTATATTTAATATATCTATTAGTTAGATATTGATGTAATGTATTAAATATTTTAAATAATAATTGTTAAAATACAACAATTAATTAAATAGTTTATCAAGACACTATTTTAATAGCGCACAATATTCAATAAAAAAGTAAACAATTTATTAAATGTTAATTATAAATTAATTCTATAACAATTTACTTATAATAATATGTTATTATAAAAAAATTAATAAAAATTGTATATTTTAATTAAAATTATTAAAAACTAAATAAAAATTAGATTTATTTAAAAAATATGTGTAAAATCTTTATATGATAATTATTTGTCATTAAATTATTTTTTGTTTACATATTGTATTTATTATTGCTAAAAAATGTTTAAATTAATACTACCGGTATTTTGTATCACTTAAAAAAGATATAGTATATATGAATGTATGTATGAATGTTTGGTCAGTTTATTTTATTGGCAAATATTATACAACTAAAATGATACCATTATTTATAGCTCAATATATAAACTCATTGTCATCGACAATATGATTGATGTAAATCTAGTGATAGGAAAACAAAAATAATATACTTTTTTGTTTGTATACGAATTTCCTAATAAAAAAATTTATTAACCATTAGTTATCTTTTTTGTAACTTTTTTTAGAAAAAATTTACGTCAAATTTTCTTTAGTTTTTTCATAAACAAAAAAATGTATTAATCAAAAAATATTTTAGACAAAAAACAAAATTAAAAATTAATTAAAAAATGAAAATATTTCACCAAATATTTTATAACATTAATTTATGGGAAAAAACATTTTATTTATTATTAAATAAAAAACAGTTTTTGATTCATATATATTATGTTAATTTATTTACACATTTTTGAGAGAGTTTTACACCCTATTAAAACTAAATCTTATCTATTAACAAATCTACTTATATATTTAAAACTTTAAATATGCCAAAAAAATATGTGTGAAAAAATCAAAAGATATTCAAATTATTATTATTATTATCGGAGCGCATGTCATACCGTTACCGATACCATAGCACCGGTCTATATATATACGACTAGAAATATATATATATATATTTATATATTATATATATATGAGTGCATCTATTGGTTTTTGCTGGCAATAAATCGGTCAATAAATTAACAGTAAATCATTTGTGATGTGTTTCACATTCACCAGTAGTTCACAACTACATCAACAACAACAAGACAACTACCAGAGTTTGAAAAGTGAAACTCTTTGAAACATATAGTTTATGTACAATATATATATATATATATTATATATATACTGGCTTTGATGGTGTAGTTAACTCTGTTAGTTGACTTAAACCATATATTATTTTTTTGTGGATAATTAATTGTTTTCTGTATATGTTTTAACTATTTTGTTAATCACTATAAAGCATATTGGCTTAAAAAAATAAAACTTTAACTTTTAATAATAAAATTTTTAAAAAAGTTACATAAAAAATTATCGCTTAATAAATGGCTATATTTCAATATATATTTGCTTTTATTTTACGCTATATTTTAATTGTTAATTTAGTATTGGCATCTCAAAGGTATAGTTTTTTTAAACATTTTTATTATCTAACTATTTATTATCAAATATAAATTGCTATTTAATTGATTTTATTAAATTGTTTTTAAATTGTTTTGTGTAAATAATAATTATTTAAAACTAATTTAAATGACATACTAAGTTACTAAATAACTCAAAATTTTCATAAATATTTTATTAAAATATTTTCTTTATAAATATAATAAACAAAACTATTATTTATTATTTAAATCAAAATAGTTGGGTATATAAATTGCAGAATAATATTGCAAATAATAAAGCATTTTTCAGTAATTAAAAGTCATGGGATTTAAACTTAATTTATTTTTAAAATTTTGTTATTATTTATAATATTTATACAGTACTTAAATTAAATATAACATTTACTTATAAAATTAATAAATTATATTTAAATATGAAATAATGTTTGTATACTTACGTTGAGTTTTATATAATATCTGTTATATATCAATATTATTAAATTAAACACAATTTTGTCTATTAAAATTTAACTTTTTGATAGTCAAATTTTGTTTATAGTTACTATTATAATTTAATAAATGACTTTCAAACCTAATATATTTAATATTCATTTAAAATTTTAAGTTAAAACAAAATATCTATGTTTATGTGTATTATAGAAAATTTGAATTTAAAAAAATTTAATTTAATTTGTCATACATTTGCTTAATAAATAAAATAAATATTGAACTAAACATTTATAATATAATTTAACTAGTATTAGCATATAATTTATAGCTTTGCATTTATTTTGTAAAAAAATTATTTTAATACCAGAAATTTTTTTTTATATTAAAAGTAGAATATAATCTTTAAAAAAAATTCAGTATAAAAATAAAAATAAAATGTCTGCTTTTTACTTAATTTAATTTTATATAAAAATTTATTTTTTATATAATTTAAGAAATAACATATGAATTTGAATTTACAATAAAAACTATTTATCTATCTATTGTATATTTCAATTTAAAAAGCAAAAATTTTTTTTTAATTATAACTATTCATAATCAATACTATTGTGATTACATTGTATGATAAATATATTTTTATTAAATGTATGATATTATTAGAAGTTCTCATCACTTTTTTTATATAAAAAAACAAAATCAAACAAAAAAAACATAGTTTGAAAAGTTTATACTGTATTACCTTTTTTTTCTAATAAAAAAACAATAAAAAAGGAGTTTCACTTAATTTTATGATTGATGGCATTCAACCAAAAAGAAAAAAACACATTTGCTATCAAATATTAATACTAATATATTTGTAATATGTATTATACTATGTATTATACTATGTATTATAATACAATTTAAATTTTTATATAATAAAGCAAACAAAAACATTATAGATTAATATTAACTGCGATAAGTATTATCTAATATTTTAAATAAAGAATGTTAAATAAATTTTTAGTCAATATCTCAATAATATTATGACATTATATGAAATAAATCATAGTTTTTATATGATTTTTTTCTTTAAATTATAATCACACACAAGAATTTAATAGTAAAATATAAGTAAATGATTTTATTTAAAAAATACCTTGACACATTCACCAAAATTTTATGTACTATATTACAAAATATACTAACATTTTTGTGTTCAATGAAAATTATATCAAATAGATTATATTTTTATAAAATTTTAGTATTTATTTGTATTTTTTGGATTTTTCAAAAACTTTTTTTGATACAACTATTACGGTATATTTTATTATCTTATTTTATTTATTTATTTATATAAATATTAAAGCATATTTCTATTTTCTACTTTTTATGGCATTATTTCTATTATACAAAAACAAAAAAAATGTAAAAATATAATTTTATTTCATATATAAATTCATTGAACAAATCTAAAACATAATATCTAATAACTATTTTTTTCAAAAAATAAATATCAAAGTGTCATAATTTGTTTTAATAGTTTAAGTTTGAATTATTTAGTCTAATATTTCAAGTTATTTTTTTCTAATCTGTATATATCACACGTGTTATATTAAAATTTAATATTTATTAATACAAATTATAATATTTTTGAACTATTTTTAGGTCTAAGTTTGAAAGTGATAGCAATTTAAGTCAATTGGATTCATTGCTCAAAGGCTATGATAGACGAGCACTTCCTACCAGTCATTTAGGTAAGTGTTTGTATGGTTTTTATACTGTTTTTAGTTTATCATAAGTTATGCTAAATATGTGTGAAATAATTCAAATAAATACTTATATATATATATATACACTGTATATGAATAAATTTATATATAAATGGATTATTTTTTTTAATGAATATATCGTATGAATATTTTAAATAAACATATATTATCATAATTGTTTATTATAAATATAATGTAGTTTTTTTCAATTTTTTTCAATATATTGTATTCAATATTTATTGTTATTTTTTACATTTATTCTACATTTACTGCACATCTCTATCATTAACTTTCAAAGAAATTTTTTTAGTAAATAATACTTTAAATTAGATTTCAATAAAAACCAGTTAAGAATGCTAGAAAGCATTTTCAGAAAAAAAACTTGAATAGCATTGAACACCATTAGTTTGTATAATTATAGCGTCTATATAGTAACATATAAAAATTTAAAAACTGGTCAAATATACATAATATAAATATTGTCATATATGGTATCAAATGATCCAGTATGACAAAATAAACTTAACTTTAATCATGTAGGGTATCAAATGACTCGGTTTGACAAAATAACTACTCAGTTGTTGTATCAAATGATTTAGTATAACAAAATAATCATCTATAAATTATTATAGACTATAATTATACTTTTTCCGCTTATACTTATTCTTTTTGTTTCCGTAGATATCAAAATTTTAATTCATATTTTTATCCTTGTTTTTGATGCTTTATTCAAATCTATACTTAAAAAAAAATTCTCATACTTTTGCCGCCATTTAAAAAAAATTATACTGATATATTATATCATATTTTTGATGCTCTTTACAATTCTAAACGTTAAAATTTTTACCTAATTTTTTTTACTTTGGCCGCCATTTTGTCTATGTTCCCGAAGAGATAGATCATTTTTGATGCAACTTTTCAATACACTATTAGTAGTCCTCTAACCGAATCTGAAGTCAGAATTTCAAAATTCGCAAAATGAAATGCTACAGACACACACACACACACACACACACACACACACACACACACACACACACACACACACACACACACACACACACACACACACACACACACACACACACACACACACACACACACACACACACACACACACACACACACACACACACACACACACACACACACACACACACACACACTAAAAAGGCTCATAGATTTCAGAAAACAAAACTTTTCAAGTTTTTTTTGAAAATGTTTAACTATTTTATTAGAATTCTATAGTAAAACGGTTGAAAAAATTCTAATAGTTTTTTTTTATTTATTAAGTTATTGTTAAAAAAATTATATTCAAAATAATTTTATTACTATTATATATTGTATATTTAGAGTATTTTAATTTTAAAATATTTTACAATAATAATACTGTATTATTAATGAAAAAAATAAGATTTGAAAAAAAATATTTTAATGACCAATTTATTTATAATTTGTATTATAAATTACAATTATTGGTAACATAGATAATACGATATCTTTTGTTATAATGTTTTTTTCATCTCTAGAGTTAAGAACCGTAACGGTTTGGTTATATTAAAGTTATGTTACTAATAATAATAACAGTTTATTACAATTAAATTATATATTATTTACAGTACAATTGAAATTTATGATGTTTTTTGCATTAAATATTTTGTATGTTATTTTATTATAGTTTAATTTTTACGATACGAAATCAAATACAAGTCATAAAAACCAAATCAAATAAACTAAATTTATTTGACAAAAACATTTCTATCTCTTATTTTTAATGGTCAGGTATACCAACTGTAGTCGAGTGCGAGATATTTATCCGATCGATTGGATCAATAAATCCGGAATCCATGGACTACGAGGTCGACCTATATTTGCGTCAGAGTTGGTTTGATGAGCGGCTCCGTACCGGCAACGGGTCGCGGGCTCTGGACTTAAACGACCCGAAGTTAGTTCAGATGATTTGGAAACCGGAAGTCTTCTTCGCCAACGCAAAGTCAGCGGAGTTCCAGTACGTGACGGTTCCCAATGTTTTGGTCAGACTTGAAACCGGCGGCAAAATACTCTATATGTTGAGGTAATTACTTTACATAACTTTCCTCTACTATAGAATATATTATATAATCTTTATTAACCCTCAATTATCATATAAATCCTATCAAAACAAATTACATTACATAAAAAATTAATTGAATTAATATTCTTTATACAATAAATTAGTATTTATTGGTCTTAAAAAATCACATCTTATTTGGATTTATGTCCAAACTATTGACATAAAGAAAAAAAGAGATTATCGGAAAAAATTATCATAAATAGCTTTTTGCAGAGATTTTTAGCTTATTTTTGTTTTTGTTTTTTAGTTAACAGTTTGTAATGAAACAAAAAAAAAAGAAATAAAAATTTATTACAACTTATAAATAATGACATTTCATAGTATCTTATGAATGCTTTGTGACATTCAGACTAATTATTCAAGACATCATACATACATATAAGTAATATTATATCAGATATAATAATACAAAAAAAGTAAATAAAAATTAAATTAAATTGAAAATATCATTTGAAGACACTGTTAATGTAACTAAACTTAATGATATAGTCTATTAAATCTTAAAAACATATAGATATAGATCTCTTTTAGTAAATAAATTATATTATTAGTTACTACATTATATGGTATATACTTTTTATTTTGTATAACTTACAGTAAAAATAAAATAAAAGTACATAATACTGTATTCAAATAATAATAAATTATAATCAAAAATTTTGAACGTTCAAAATGTTAAATAAAATCTTTAAATTTTTATCGTTACTAATAAAGTAAAACATTACAATATAAATTATTTTTCATACTATAGATTAGATATTTCCATTTAGTCCTATCATGATAGATTTTTATTATTATGTAAATAAATTTTTAATTTAAAATTTTTAAAGTCTAACATTATTTTGTTAACAAAATTCAGTTTATAAATTTTAATTATAAAGTTTAAATATTAATTAAAAATTCAGTTACACATATACTACAATAATTAAAACAAATTTTATTAATATTAACTTTAACAAAACTGAGTGAGTTAAACAAATTTGTTCATTACATTAGTTTAATTATATAAGTTTTGATTTTATAAATGTATATTTAATAATTTACATTTATATTGAGTCTTTGTAGAGTAAATTTTTAAAAAATACAAAGTTTTTTTTTAATTTTTGACAACAAATCTCACTAGTATTACATTTGATGCAATAATATACAATAATATAGTTTTTATTATTAATATAATATTAGTATAGTATTAATAATAATATTATTAATATGTTTAACAAATATAACTAATGCCATGCATTTTGCTTATCACATATCATATCTTAATTAAATTTATAGATCAATACATGAATTTTTTATTTGTTATTCAAAGAGATTATTATTTGTTTTTTATAAATGATAAAATATAGTGTTTTTGTAATTTATGTAAAAGCTAAATTTGAGACACATTAAATGTGATGTCCTTTTATTTATAGATTTAAATTAAAAGTTTGGTTTACATTTATTTTCAATTATCTATTAATAGTATATTTTTCCAAATAAAATATTAACATATAACATAATATTAACAATAAATGCTTTCTAATATTTATATATTAAAATAAAGATATTTAACTTATATTGCTTGTAAATATAAAACATTCATTTATTTACTATAACTTATTTTTATTTTTGATAATAATATTTTTTGATGTTTTTTTTTAATTTGCTATAATTATATTTATTTTGTTAGCATAAAATTTGCCAAATTATAAAATTGGCAAATAATCTATTATAGTATGTATATAAAAATATACAGTTTTTTTAATATCTCTTTATTAAAAAAATAACAATATTGTATTAAAATATTATAAAAATATGTATTAAATTATTGAAATATTTTTAATAAAATGCCTGATAAGATGCTTCAATAGAGACAATACTTATTTTATATTAAATTTAATATACAAATTTATGTTCATTATTCTTTATAATAGACAAAATAAATCACGTTTTTTTTAATTTAATAAAAGCATATCCTTTAATTTAATATCGATATTATATTTAATACAATAGTAAAAAAATATTGATGCAATTTACTAGAAAAACTAATAACAACAACAAAAATAAATGAATCATTAAGTAATATAAATTTTGTAGTTTTTCATGTATCAATTTAGCTTTTATAAAAAAATCAAGGAAATCTAACACAATTATTTAATTAAATTAATATATCAAATAAATTTTTTTATTTAATTATTTATTTATTAATTATATTATATAATATGAACATAAAATATTTCAAATAATTTATATAAATTTGTAGTGTTTTAAATCAAATTTTTGACCTTTAAATATGTATGTTTTTTGATAGAATAAATAATATCAATATTTGTTAATTATATTATTGTTAGTTTTATGTAAAACTGTTTAATTGAAATGTATTTAAATCTTGCATTCATTATATTGAATATAACAAAAATATATCTTATTTTACAAATTAAAATAAATAAACAAATCTTTAAACATATAAGACTTTATATAGTTTTTTTTAAATCTTTTCATTTTATAGACTTAAACTGCGTTTCTCATGTATGATGGATCTGATCCGATACCCAATGGACTCTCAGATATGTGCCATTGAATTGGCCTCATGTGAGTCGACAATATTATGTTTGTCTCAATTATTAGACACAATATATATATACAGACAAATATAATAGCATAAAACAATACTATAATAAATATAATGTATATATTATATAATACTTTATAGACATCTAAATATATAAATTTATTTTAATACATAAACCTTATGTTGCGATCACGGCATTGACACTGATGTGTAATTTATATAATGTTAGGACATTTTATATATTAATTTATTGGTCAATGTTTTTGTCAATACAATTGATTTTCTAGTAAATTGATATAAAATGACAGAAACTTTTTTGTTTTGTTTTTTTTGTTATATTTCGTTTACACCCAAAAAAACGCCAATTACTATACACACCAATACAGTAGTAATCGTATGTGTTTTCAGAAATGATATCAATTGAGAGAGAGAGAGAGAGAGAGAGAGAGAGAGAGAGAGAGAAGAGAGAGAGAGAGAGAGAGAGAAAGAGAGAGAGAGAAGAGAGAGAGAGAGAGAGAAAGAGAGAGAGAGAGAAAGAGAGAGAGAGAGAGAGAGAGAAAGAGAGAGAGAGAGAGAGATAATTATCATCAATAATAATAGTAGTGGGTGATAGATCCTAGACAGACGAACTCTTTTTTAACTCTTTTAAAATAGTATAATATTATACTACAATATAAAAATTATATACATATATTTTAGTTATATAATTAAAATAAAAAAAGTAGTTAGGGATAGTAAAAAAGGGAGTGGAAATTTTTTTTTAAAATATTTAAAAAATATTAAAAATATATTGTAGTATAATTTAAAATACAAGGAAATAATTTTTTTAATAAAAAAATAAATGCATAATATAATTATAGAAAGGGGACTCAATGACTCACATTTAATATTAATAAAGCTATAAAAGGGACTCAATGACTCATGCGCAGTACATAATATGCATAAAAAAGGGACTCACAAACTCACTCAACGCTATAATAAAGCTATGCATAGTAACTCACACAAGTAAGGTATGAATGATGTACGCATGCGCTAAACTAGTTATATCAGTGCATACATGTATTATTTGCTATCCATTCACTTAACCTACACAGGACAACAAACACCACATTTAAGGTATAGTATTATATACTAAATGTAATATAAAGTAGTTTAGAATTATAAAAACCAGTTTTTATAATTCAAAAATAATTTTTTTTCATTTTTTGTTTAAAAACTTAGAAATAAAATTAAAATATTTTTTGAATTATAAAAACCTGTTTATATAATTCAAAAGCTATTTTATAATTTTTATTACTTAAAAACTATTTAAACTATTCAAAAAAGTATTTATTAAAAATATATCTATAAACTTAAAAATTAATAAATATTTTTATTTTTTATAAAAAGTATCTGTTTTTAAAATTAATATATATTTTTATAGTTTTTAGTTGTTTTAAAAAAAACTACAACAAAATACAAAATGCGTAAGTTTTTATATTAAATATTTTGTTTGAAAAAATAATATTTTTAAATAATTTTTTAGATATTGAAGGCAAAGAAGAACTTAAGTTTATTTTGGATAGAATGAAAGAGGAGTTATCCGAAAAATTAAAATCAATAAGTATGAATTTTAATAATAATTTTTTATACTAATTAATAATTTTTAAAATTTTTCAGATAAACTAAGTACAAAAAATATTACTGCAAAAGACATCAGAAAAGAATTTTTATGGACTCCTTTTTCAGCAATTAAACGTAAAGTTCAAAGTGAAGCTTCACACATACTGACTGAAACATCTGCAGCGGAGACATCAAAAAATACAAAAACAAAAATTTATAAATCAAGTGAGACAGTGTCTGACAGCAGCGACACCGATGATGATAGTTCAACAGATTCTGAAAGCCAAGTTAGTGAAGAACCGGACGACCTGCATTCTGATGAGGCAAACGCAGCCGCCAACACTCTAATTGAAAGAGAAGGTTTGTCAACTGATAAAGTAATTTATCAAAAACAATCACAACGCAGCCATACAAAAACACCAGTAAAAGCACCAATTAAATACCGTAAACAAAACATTCAGGTATTAAAATATTATGTTATTATATATTACACTTATAAAAATATTAATAATTTTTAATACAATTTTAGACAAAACAACAAACATCACAAATAAAAAAAAATTATGCAAACAGTTTATCGACTTCTACAACAATACTTCTAGAGGTAAAGTTTTTTAAATTTAATATTATAGTAATTATTATTGTATTAACAATTAAATAAAACAATTTTTATTTTAAACAGAAAGCGAAGCAAAGTGCGATTTTAAGGGATGAACGCATGAAATCTGCACCAAAACAATCAATTTTATTGGATCATACACCCTCCGCTTCAGGTACACAAAAAAGACTTGGACGGCCTACAGGTGCTAAAGATTCTACTCCACGTAAACGCAAATGTAATGATGACATAATCGACTTGACTGATGGACAAAAAGATGAAACATCAGATTCTACTTCAGCATTGGTGTCTTTGTCACAACCGGAGGCTGTACCTCAACAGATGTGTTTACAAACACCAATAATACCACAGCAAATTCCTTTACCGCCTCCTATATTACCACAAAAGCAGGTAATACTTCCACCACCACCTCCAATTGTACATCCAATGGAACAACAACAGTTGGCAATACCTCCACCACCGCCTCCAATTCCACAATCTTATGAAGTGGCTATTCCACCGCCAGTAGCCCCTACAATGCCACCGCAATTCACTTTAGCTCCTGAAGTTATAATGGCAATTCAACAAATTATAGCACAAAATGCTATGGGTCAACAAAATTATATAGTTCAATAATTATATATTTTTTGTCATTTATATTTTATCATTATTTTTTTAATTATATAATCATTGTTTATGTATTTTTAAATATTTTTGCATTTTAAAATAAATATTTTATTCAAATTTAATTTTGCCTTATTTATAAGTAGACATCACAGACTTGATGCGTGAAATTTTATTTTAAATATATATAATATAAATGTATATTAAGTCATATAAAAAATATTTTTTAAATCCATGTGTAGCAAAGTATTAAAATAATTTTTTGAAATTTTTTGTTTTGCAAAAATTAAAAATTATAATAATTTTTTCTAAGTCTCACAGACTTGATGCGTGAAATTTTATTTCAAATATATATAATATAAATGTATATTAAGTCATATAAAAAATATTTTTAAAATCCATGTGTAGCAAAATATTAAAATAATTTTTTGAAATTTTTTGTTTTGTAAAAATTAAAAATTATAATAATTTTTTCTAAGTCTCACAGACTTGATGCATGAAATTTTATTTTAAATATATATAATATAAATGTATATTAAGTCATATAAAAAATATTTTTAAAATCCATGTGTAGAAAAGTATTAAAATAATTTTTTGAAATTTTTTGTTTTGTAAAAATTAAAAATTATAACAATTTTTTCTAAGTCTCACAGACTTGATGCGTGAAATTTTATTTTAAATATATATAATATAAATGTATATTAAGTCATATAAAAAATATTTTTAAAATCCATGTGTAGCAAAGTATTAAAATAATTTTTTGAAATTTTTTGTTTTGTAAAAATTAAAAATTATAACAATTTTTTCTAAGTCTCACAGACTTGATGCGTGAAATTTTATTTCAAATATATATAATATAAATGTATATTAAGTCATATAAAAAATATTTTTAAAATCCATGTGTAGCAAAGTATTAAAATAATTTTTTGAAATTTTTTGTTTTGTAAAAATTAAAAATTATAACAATTTTTTCTAAGTCTCACAGACTTGATGCGTGAAATTTTATTTCAAATATATATAATATAAATGTATATTAAGACATTAAAAAATTATATATATTCAGTAAGTAATAAAATATATAAAAATTGTATTTTTAACTGCCATCTACAATTCCGAAAAATTATTAAAAAATAATTTAAATAGTATATATTAATGTTATTTATATTATTAACAATATAGATGGCGCTGTAAATTTACATTATATATTTTACATATTTAATTTATTGACATGCGCAGTTTTATTATTTAAAGTTTAAATAGCATTCCTTCTTTACTAAAATAATCATTTTAAGTTTGTCAATCATGAGTTTCACACAAGTTTATTATGAGGTATTTTGCAATTTATGTAATAAACTTATTGAACAAAAAGATTGCACAAAACATCTTTTATTATGTGTGTCAAAAAAAAGTAACGAACAAAATATTGAAAATGATAGTTATTATAAACAATATATTTGTTTGTTATACATTTTAGACTACATTATATATGATAAAAGAATTAAATTTGATTACAACATTAAAGATTATTCTCTTGAAATCTACAAACACTTTGATTTGGTTTCACAAAATAGACATTTTTATTCAGCTCTTACCGAAAGCGATGCTATAACACGTGTTGTTTTAACTCAAATTAATGAACTTCCAAATGATAAATATCTAAATATTATACCATTTTTAAAATGTGAAGACTTTAAAAATATTGAATTGGAAAATATTTTTTCACGTGCCCAAATTATAAATTTAACAAAAAATGAAATTTTATAAACATCAAATTGATTGTAATATCTTATGTTATAAAGACTATAATGTTTGCAGATATTGTTACAAAAAAATTCCATTAGTTTATTTTATAACTCATATCTTACATTGTGTTGTTAGAAAAAATCAAATTTCTGGTTTTAATGTTAATCAAAAATTTTGTGAAATACTTCTACATGTTTTTGGTTTCAATAAAATAAATACAAAACAATTTTGGAATAGTAAAGATATTAATTTTGAAGATGATATTTTGCTTGCTACAATAACAATTGATATTTACAAATTTTTAAAATGGAGTAGAAAAAATCAATATTATCCATCACGTGAAGAATTTAAATATTTTCGTTTTCCTCGACTATTTAAAGAATTATTTTATGAATTTTTTGCAATTTTAATGAAAGAAAAAATTGACATAATTAACAGTGATTACATAAATAA